AAAAAAAAAAAAAAAAAAAGCCTGAACAAAAACATTCTGCATTCAGGACATACATTAGAAGTTCTCATGTTGAGAACATTCCAATACAATTACAGGCTGATCTGGATACTTCCTGGGGTATTTTTTTCCACAGGATAGCCAGTGGGGAAATTTCCAGCATAAACAACACCGTCCTCAGTTGATCAACTCTGTCTAAATGGAGCATTTCCTATTCAAAGTGGAGGCAAATCTTAATATTAACTGTTAGTGTATAATCTGATGGCTGGAAATTCCTTGCTTACGGAAATTCAGATCTAGCGGCACATTTTTTTCCCCAGCTGAATGTGAGACCATCTGTGCATGTAAAAAAAGGGGGATAAAAGGAATTTTGTAGCCAAGATAGGCCAGCTCCACCTAAGCGAGAGGAGCCCCGGATCCAGAGGTCAGGTAGGGGTCTTCTTCAGCAGGCAATCTGTCTCATGCACTTCCATTCAGGGCCCCTGAGTCCCTCACCAATCACACAGGGCTTCCTGTCGTGGGCCCTGAATTCTTTGCCAATCACACAGGAAAGCCCTGAACTGAAAGCTGGCCTTTTTAGTTCCAGGTGGGAGTGCATACTGTAAATACCACAGTGTTTAACAGGAGGGAAATCCAGCTTACAACGACAGGACTGGCAGAAGGCCTCTTTAAGCGGACACAACAAACTAGCAGAATAAGAGCAACGAAGGCAGCACTGACTGCATAAATCATCAAAAATGTAACCCGCTACATTAATAAAAAACACACGTCGTCCTGCTGACACCTTACCATGGTGCCATATTTCTGGGTGACCATGGAAGTAGGAGCCGATTCCGTGACCGATGAAGTGCGGACAAACCAGGAATCCATGGGATTCTGCTATCCGGCTGTAATACAAAGAGAAGCCATGGTCAGGCCGTACGCAGTGGCAGAAATGCTGCAAAGCGCTCTTCCATATCACAGCTACTTCATGCTTGAAAATATTATAAGCTTTATTTCAATAAATAAGATTCCTCTAAAACATTTTTCTTCCAACAGAAAAACAGAATAGATTTTATTATACAGTTGCAGATTCCAGGTCAGGGTCATTAAGAAATGTCAGACAGCTGCTTCCAGGGGTTATCATAAAGTGCATGTGCAGGCTAGCTCCCGCACCCCAGTGTTTCAGGGTGGATGGGGCAGACCACTCTGAGAGCAGCATGGGAATTCCCATCATTACCCACTGGCTTGGGATAACCGGGTATAACTTAACGATTAAATGCTCAATCGATCATGCTGTATTAAACGTCTTGTTGGTATGATTCCAAAAGCCTACATTTGACATCGACCTCCAAGAACATGAACATAAGCAAAATTACAGCGACCTGTCAAAAGAGGAGGGATGCCTTTTTAGGTGACCATTTCACTGGAGGGGGAAAAGGAAGAGAAAACTCCTGAAACATGGCTTACAAATCTGAGCTTTGAGCTCCTGTCAGAAAAGGCCTGGAAAGGGCCTGGCTGGAGTAAACAGGGTAAGGCGCAGCTGTTACAATCAAGCACACCTCCTGCAGGCAGCAGCGGGGGGGGGGGCAGCTGAGAGCAGACCACCTGCCAGAAATTGGTCCCAAAACGACCCGATTACCTGGGAGAGTAGTGTCGCCAAAAAAGGTGTCACAATAAACTCCCGTCACTTAACGTGACCATGGCTAATGGGGAAGCCAGGTGTAAATTGAGGGTCTCCAGCACCCCCCCCCTTCTGTCTGGCTTGCTGTCTGTGCCAGTCTGGCAGTAAATGTGTACCCTCAGCAACAAGGGAACTGAGCAAGGCCTTCAAAGCATTGTAATGTGTGCATGACTCTTTATTTCAAAACTGAATATTAAATAAATGTAGACAGATTTAATATGTTCTGCTGTCATTAATCTATCTTGGTCTTGGTGAGCCAGAAGCCTATCCCAGGAGGCACAAGGCACAGGTGGGTTTGTCCATCAGGGGACACAGGGAAGGGACAGGGATGCCAGTCCACCAGGGGACACAGGGAA